CGGGGGGGGGGCCCCCCTGTGCTTGCCCCCCACCCAGCCGAGACCCCCACAACTAACATCACATTCCTTGGAGAGCTGAAGTGGAGCCCAGGCAGCAGACACCAGTGCTCGAGGTCACACAACAGCAGTGGGGACATCCCAAGCGTAATGCCAGCAAGCATCACCACCTCATTCCCACCAGCCAGGGTGCTGAGATCCCCCTTCTCGACCCTGCGCTACCCAGGGACCCTCTGCTCAAGTGTTGTCGAGGTTCAGGTCCACCCCAGGCCCTCGTCAGTACAACAGCCTGCCCTTAGTGCTGGCACGGTCCTGCAAGAAGAGCATCCATGCCATCCCCCTCAGCCACCTCCACAGCTTCCCACGATCCTGCAAAAGCTTTGTGCCGGGAGCTTTTTGCCCTGGACTGGGTTTCCCCAGCTCTCAGCAGCTTTTTAACCCTCTGTGCATCCCAGTGAGCAAACCGAGGGCTGCAGGAACAGAAAAGCAGCAGTAATACCTCCCTTCCCAGGGCAATACTCACAGGCCCGACAGGGTGTCCTGCTGGAGGTAAGGCAGAGCCTTCGCATTCGAGATTATTTCCTGGGGCAAAGAGGACGGCTCCATGCGCTGGAACATGGGGGCATTTTTCTGTATTGAAGAAAAGAAGAAGCTGAGCCTTCCCACTACTTGGGAAGGCGACGGCGTGCTCACGTTTGCTGCTGGGGACCGAGGATGCACGGTCACCAAAGCCCATCCTGTATCACCATCCTCATCCCTCTCAGGGGGCTGGCTGCACGGTTGGTCGGGATGTGGTAGGAAGCAGCGAGGGTGCTCTGAACATCCCTGTCCTACCCACCGTGTGCCCAATCCCAGCCTCACCTGCTCCTCCAGCTGCTGCCGCTGCTTCTTCGCTTTGCTCTGCTTGTAGTAATCCATGATCATCATGGCTGCATATATTTTTCCAACAGTCAGGTCAGAGGCTGAGAGCGTAAGGAGGGAAGGAACGTGGGGGACACTTAACAGAAACAGCAGGTCTGAAGGCACCGGCGCAGATCTTGGGAAGAGCCCTGATGTGGGATACCCTCAAAGTCTGCTCACCGCTCCGAAAGAGAGGTGACAACCCAGGCACTCCATGTGGAGATAAAAGGGATGGAGATGGCTTGAAAGCGTCATCATAAACCACCAAGACACACACCTTCACCACACCATCATATGTAACGGAGCAAGTAATGCTCAGCCTCCTGCCCTTGCATGCTCCAGAGACGATTTATGGGAGACCCTGGGTTTGGCAGGAGCAGATCCCTGCAAACTGGGTGTTTTTCAGGAGGGTTCCCAAGCAGTCAGACAGAGCAAGGCGGAAGCCAGCCTGGAGCAGCACAAACCCTTTTCCCACGTTTGCCCCAGCTGGGGATGGGTCTGACCGCACCCCCCACCCACTGGGAAGAAGATGATGCAGGTATGATGGAAATTTGACGGTGATGACAGCCTGCACAGAGACTCACTTTTTGGCATGGGTACCAACAGGTCAAGCATCTTCTGGGACAGGTGAGGCCAAATGGTCAGGATCTCCTTTTGAAGCTCGGAGTCTAACTGCTGCCAGTCTGCACCACCTTGAACGATGAGGGGGAAAATAGACCACGGACATCAATACCTGGCACCAGGGTGCAAGTAAAACCACCCCTTTCCCACCCTAAAGTGAGGTTCACAAGCAGCAACCAGCTCTCTGGGCCAGGGGGGCCACCTTGCATCAGCGAGCCTGGTCTCCTGCTCTTGCATGGAAACTTTCCTGCCACCCCTTCCATATGCGCCTCCATCTCCCCATCCCCTGCCCTCCCACTCAAAGCTGCCATCTTCCAGCTCGCCTTGGGTCCGTCTCTGCGGTTCCAATCCTACTCCAGCCCACACACACCTGCTGCTGCCCCACTTTCTCTTTTCTGGTGAGTGGATCACGTGCCGGTGGAAGAGAAGCTCCGCTTGGTTGAAATCCTTAAATAGGCGGCGATGATGCGCAAGGAGGAGACCAGAGCCCCCACGGTCAGTGGCGACAGGATTTGCTGGGCTGAGGAAGACCCAGGCTCAAAGGGAGATGGTCAACCCACGTCAACCAGAGACACCCAAGCCTGAGGCAACTCTGCCAAGCCTTAGGAGATACAGGTTCAAATCTCCGCTCTATCTAGGGGGGCTTGAACCCCAGGAGCTATCTCGTCACGGAGCTTTTGCTGGTGTTTTGCCCTGGGTTGGGTTTTCTTGCAACAACTAAGCTGTTCCCAGGAGATGTTTTATTGAAAATGGTATGTTTCTGCAGAAAGCTTTTGATCTGATGAATCAGAGTGTTTCCAGCAACAACAACAAAACAGGTTTTCCTGCTCTGAACATTTTGTCTTCCCTGAGAGAGAGACTTCTGTTCCCCGCAGCCTTAGGAAGCCAAGCACACGCGATCTTCTCCCTTGGTTTGGCTTTGGGAAGAAGGGGAATTCTCTCTCTCTCCTCAGTTACACAGCGGACATCAAGCTGTTTCTACTCCCTAGAAGCAGCTTCCACTGGAAAACTGGCCACCCCTTCCCTAAAGAAACACATCTTTTATAGAAAGCAGCAAAAATTTGCTTATTCAAGGTAATCACGTGCTAGGTTCTGGGTGACCAACCCCAGTTTGTCTGTGATGTCCTCAGCCTTCCCAAAGGACACTGGTCACTCTGAAACGCTCCTGGCTCCGTCCCCTCCCTACCCCATCCACCATACCTTTGGCAATTTTGATGTCCAAGGCCGTGCGTATCAGCGCCATCAAGGTGGAGGTAAAATGGACCGTCATGTCCTCGGCCACGGGCATGTTCATCAGCACCAGTCTCTGCGCAAGAGAGAGAAGAAAACAGCGGACGGAAAACAATATCGAAAAACACATCGACCAGGCTGGAGGAAAAGAAATTAAACATTAAACAAAAGGGAAAAAAAAATAGAAAAATTAAAAAATAAAAAGCAACAAAGAGTGTCAAAACAGCACAGCCAAAAAAGAAGGGCAAGGATCACCCCGCCACCCCCTCCCCCCGGCTCCTTCCACCCCAGGACACCGGCTCACTGCCTTCCAGGGCTCCTCCTGCACCCCAGGAACAGCCCCTGAGCCCCCCTCTCCATGGCACCGGGGCTGCCACGGCACCTCCCGGTACTTTTGGGAAGACACGCCTGATCCGTCAGGGATGTGGGTGTCAGGAATGCTCGGGAAGGGGAGAAGGGGACTCAGGTTTCTGTTCCCGGGGTGGTTTGGCTTTCAGCTCTCAACCCTTCCCATCTGGGGCAGGGGAGAGGAGGGTCCCTAACCTTCAGGGACTTCAGACCGGCTGGATTCCTCTAGCATGCTACATCCTGGCGCTCCCTTTTTGTGTCTTTCAGAGATGAAGTTTGCCAGCACATGCACAGGGTCCAAATTATCCAAGGGTGGGGAAGGGAAGGAGGGGTAGAAAAAGTGCAGAAGGAAAGAGAGAAGGGCAACCAAGGCAGGTTAGACACGCCATGCTCCTTCCCCACTCTGGGCAGGTGGGGTGCAAACCGAAGTGACCAGATCCACTTTCCAGAGAGTATATTTTGCTTTGTGAATACCTTGGGTCATCCCTTCCCTGCCCATTCCCTTTCCCCTGGCTTCTCATGTCCTTTCCCTGCCCTTCAAGCTTCCCTTTTTCTCCTGGAAGAGTGTGATGATGGATGGATGCGTGCGTGAACAGACACGTGAGAGCTGGGGAGGGTGGCAGCGTTCGTGAGCTTGAAGAATTCCCCCCTTGGCCAACCTTGAGCGCTGCTAAAAGGGCTGTGGGCAACAGCCTGCTGCCAAGGAAAGCTCCAGACCTGGACAACACATTGTTCCAGGCTTGTCCTAGCAGCTCCCAGCCCATGACCTTCAGGGCCTCCCATGATCCCGCTCCACGCCTACGCAGCTGGGAGCTGTGCCTGTGCCGTGAGCTGAACGCCAGCCACTGCCCTGGGGAGGGGTAAAATGCAGAGCTGCTTCTTGACGGCACCTGGCTTTGCCTTGCATGGGCCATCCTTGGGATAGCTCATGCCAACGCGCCTGGCTCCTCACGCACTGCTGAGCTGCTCCTCCAGGATCTCACCTCGCTGCCCGCATGCTTCCCAACTCCCTGGGTTTTAGCCCTATTTCTGCCGGCTGGGACAAAGGTGGTGCCAAGCCCAGGGGATGAGCTTGTGCCCGTGGGCTCCTGCAGACATCCCGCCCTCCCAACTGTGCTACGGGGTTGCTCCTCACCTCACCCTCCAGCCCTCCCACTCCCACACTGACCCTCCTCTTCCACTGGGGTCTTCCACTCCTCGGGCTTGCGAGTGACCGTGGCAGCGTCACACGCACAGGCCGTGGGGACCAGCCAGCCTGGCCCGCCAAGCACACCCAGCTCCCCCGGAGTGAGCTAAACACGTGTTGGATGCCCCCAGCACTTCGCCGGCTCCCCCCAGCCCCACCTCCCGCAGCTCCCTCAAGCCCCGGCTCCTGCTCGGCTCTAGCCCCCATAGAAGGAAGGGTTGATCTACCTTATAGGCCACTTTGGAAGGACATCTCTTGCCGAGGCCTAGCGGTGGTGACATAAGAGTCAGCATTTCATACATCTCAGTGTAATGGATTCGGCCACTGCTCATGAAGGGGGAAGGGGAGGGAGGGAGATGCAGAGAGAGAGGAGGCATTCCCAGAGAGCGGAAAAACACACGAACAAAAGTAGTACAGGAAAACAGGAGAGAAGAAAAAAAAAAAAAAGAAAAAAACAAACGGACAAACAGGAAAAGAACAGGAAACCCGTTAATCAAGGCAAATCATACATGAGAGACTGTCCTGATGTGGATTTATAGCACTGCTCACACA